GCACATCCCAAAATTGAAACTGTTCTATCCAATCAGTCCCGAACAAATTACCCGTATTATTCATAATATACGCCATTAATTTTAAAGTTTTACACTTGAATCACACGTTCGTTATAAATTCACCCATAAACTTAATAGTGTCGCCATTTATTCCTTTGGCTATTCGATTCGTTCTTAACAAAGTCGGCTTGACAAGTTTTTTCCACGTTTCATAATTAATTATCGATAAGTCTGAACCCGAATGAAGCTGTAGCCTTATATTTTTGTTATATATTTGCACTTCAATATATTTCTGATGTCACGACTTTCTTGTTAACAAGACTTGATAATTTTTACACCTTTTTTGTTCTTAATCCTGCAGTTGGAACTCTTGTGTCCCAATTTATTGCAATTAAAACATTTTTTTTTTATGTTTAAAAGGACAATCTCTATACCAATGTAATTAACCACACCCGAAACATGATCTTGAAGGCAAATTAACTCTATTCTTTGATTGGTGTATCTTTTAAATTTTTCTTTCGCGTATTTATTTAATATGAGCCACGCCACTGTACTCGATGTTTTTTCGAATCTCCTCTGACGCTCACGAAACGTTGGCAATCTTCAGCAATTTGCTATAAAGTAACGTCGGGCTCGTTTTCAAGCTTGTTGAGTACCCAACGATCTATTTCGGCGTCTGTCGCTGAAATCAAATCCTGGATGAAAATCAAGCATTTAAAATTATTGGCGCTTAACTCTGCCAATTTGAAATCATCGCAGTGTTTATTAACTACACTCGCGAAACTAGTATAATCTTCGTCTTCTTTGCACGTAAGATTCTTGCATTTCTAATACTTGTGGAACAGTGATGTCTTTGGACTCTAAGAGTTCTCTTAATGATTGAACCGCCTCTTTAAATTTCAAGTCGCTGATTTTCTTAGGCAAAATATAATTAGCAAACTTAATATATTCTGCTGTGCTTAATTTCCTGAGGAGTAGGCGAACCTTTTTTATGGTCAACCCAACATGCACAATCCGTATTGTGTAAGTCCTCGTAACGTTTAAATTATGAAGCGAATGTAATTTCTTCTTCAGTTTTCAATAGCACTCCATTTGAGAGAATTTTAGATTTTTATGGACATATACAAGTGCCTTTGCTCATCATGTGTTTCAAGGAGCATTTCTCCCAGTTTCTGTTGTCTAACCTGAATTTCGAGGTGCAATTCCTTCAAGTATTCTACTTGTTCTCATTGGAATTCCTCTTGCCTTTCTTGATATTTCTGCTCCAACAGTAATTGTTGTTCCTGTTGGTGTTTCAACAACTCTACCATTACACTTTTAAATTCGTCCATTTTACTGCGTAAAACTAAGAAATAAGAGGGGGTGATTTTTTTTCTCTTTACCCTCTTAAATAAGTCTGTTTGACTTGTACGATTCTTTTACTGTAAATTTAAAAGCAGGACAGGGGGTAAATTTTTACTTTACCGAAATAAATAAGTCCTTTCACTGACTTGTTGGAATGGAAAAAATAACAAGATTCACTAAAATTCTTCCCTACCACTGTATTGAACATGTAGGACTCCTCTTGTTTTAAGGAGTTTCTTTTATTTATCTTTATTTTTTTCACTGTCGGTGTTGTAATTAAGACTGGACACCCTTTTGTCATAGAGTTTGAACAGAATTCCTTTCTTCACCACTTTGATGAATTAACATGAAGTCTGTTTCTTCGAATCTTTCGGCGCCAAGATATTGTGACCAAGTAAATGGTTAAGTAATAACAAAAACCAGGTTTGCAGACATATCGTATATTAAACCGTAAGTACACCAGAAGAGTATTACGGGACCAGTGAGGGTGTATCGAATGCACTAGCGGTCAGTCAATTCACTCTTCACTGTTGTATTTAACAGTCCCCCCACAAGGAATGTATGTAGCACAAGGCCGAGTTTAACGTGGGTTTTTTCGAGGCCGTAAACTCGGCCAAAAATATTCCCTTCGAACCCGCCTAGAGGGGTTCAGAGACTGTCTACCTCCCCGGACGAATCTTTGCCCTTTGGCAAAGCTTCGTCCGAGTTCCTCTCTGCCGAGGCATCGATTTGGACAGTTGAACAATCTATGCGACTTCTCCCCGTGCCTTCTCTACTACTAAAATTATACTAGACGGACGACTCTAATATAGACTCTTAGAGGGAGGACACCACAACATTACCCTTAATAGGACAACACGGCAAGGAGAAGGAAAACTCTAAATTCAAACCCTCGTTATTAATAGGGCAAACTGAGCTCTTTCGTCTTGAACGGGCAAACATTTTGCATGATTAAAAAGCACGAAGTTTTTAAAATGAAGAATGGTATTGTCTCAAAAAGCCATGATGTTCTTTCCACTCATTCTTAGCTACCCACGAGAAGATTATCAATGACGCGTGTCAAAAACAAAAAAACATGAAAACTGTCTACTTGACTCACGCCACATACGATTGGCCATGTGTGAGACCTAATTGTATGGTATTTAATGTAGTCTATTCGACTTACAACGCTTCCTCTTAGCTAGGAGTGAAACGGATTTGCATGGCCTTTAAATCAATCGACTTTTTCTATTTAGGAATGAGTTTCCTGTTCACAACGAAATCTTCAGCGAAGATTTTTCGAATAAAGTGGAACGTTTATCTGCGTATTTTTTAAGCAGTCTAAATTTTACTATCGCTTCAGGCGAAAAGGAAATGTAATGAGAGATGACTTTACGATCAAATATTAAGAATGCTATAAACAAAGCATATGAACAAGTTTATGGAGCTAACAAACTAATACAAAATTTATACCTATAACACCGGTGGACATTTTTTTTACCGAAATGTTGTTGGGCAATGAGCACATGTTTCTGAGATATTTTTGTTCACGCTGAATCTGAAAATTAAGTCCATTTTGTCCCATACATCGCATTTTCTCAGCACAGAATATTTCTATTTTTTCTAAAAATAGCCCAAAATACCCGTTTAGCAGTGATATGCCAGGACCAAGTAGAACCAACCTCAAAACGTTTTCAGGTTTGAATAAATTATCATGAAAGAAAAACTATCCCAATAACTTAAAGAATGCATTTTCAGCATTTTAAGTTCAGAAAAAGTTTCCAGAAAAATCTCACACAAAATTAAACTAAGGCAAATATGTGTCATCAATTTTGAATCAAAACAGTCAATTTTGAATCAGGAAGATGCAAAAAAATTAAAAATACATTCATTTTTGTCCATCCAAAGTTATAAATCTTTTCTTCTTAGAAACTCTACGGTGTTTTCGAAAAGGAAGATCTCTTTTGATGCTCCAGCCGAAATCAGCCATCATGTTAACATCGCATTTGCTTTTGTATCTTATTTTCCATTATCTTGCGATCGTGGAGAAACCACTCTACCTGTTCATCGCTATAATCAAAAAGATTATTAGGAAACTGATCGAGGTGATTAAACATAAAGTGAATCTTGATACTCATGTAGTTTAAAGGACCTGAGAAGCCTTTTCAACATCCTTTTATAGTTCTCTGCCATTCTTGACCCAAGAAAATTGCCGACAACATCTACAAATTTCCCCATACCTCTTTTTCTCAAAAAACACACGCCTAACACCCTAACACCCCTCATTTATCGATGTTCCTATGCATGTTATACAGAGACTGCATGACAATGTCAGACCTCCGTAAATTTATTTTTTAACAGCTGCTGCTCCTGCTTAACGCATAACTCTTCGTCAGAATTGAGCAGTCTGGCTGCTGCTCTAGCGTTTATATACTTCATGTATATAATACGTTAAAAGATTCCTTTGCTAACTGATGCCAAATCGGTCGAGTTTCGATACCGGTTTGAAGCAGTCGGATTTCTAGCCACACTGATGAACTGTGATACAGTGAAACAAGCTGTCTTATATATATTATATAACAATTTTACCTGTCGCTGCATACTTCAACCAACCGTTCCATAGTATTGATGACATCAGACACATGCATTTAGCGTCTTTATTTAAAAGCCGACAAGAAAGACGCAGATCAGAGATTAAATACATTTTCTAAATAGAATCATATATCAAACGGTTAGACAGGGATTTGAGTTTACTCAAAAAATATAGTTTCCGAAGGGATCCCTCTACACACCCTACATATCCCTAAACATGACAAATTATTAGGCCAAAATCAAATTTCTTACAGATATAGAAAACATGAGAAAAATTCAACAACAATATTCCTCGGGAAAATGAGAACTACTTCTTTGCTTATTTCTCTTCTCGATGAAAAAAGATACAGGCGTGTCCGAAAATTCCGACATTAAAATCTTTGTCTTCGTGATTCAATTTATCCAAAGAGCCTACTAATATTGTTATCTTTGTCCTTTTCTTCAGAAATTTTCATTAACCAGTCTATTGAATCTACACACATAGACAAATATATATATATATATATATATATATATATATATATATATATATATATATATATATATATATATATATATTTGTCCAATATATATTGTTTTTAAAGACACAACGGAAACTGGATACTGTTGAAATGTTTGCATAATATGGAGTAAGTAGTGAAGTTATATATATGGAATAGGCAATAAATTTCTATATGAGCCCATTCTTTGTATGAACGACATTCAATTTCTGTCCCTGTCTAAAACATAAAAACAACATTATTTGCGCTCTGAAACATAAAAACATAACATTAATGAAACCATTAACATCATTAAAAGAACTTTAATAAAATCTATAACATTAATGTGGAACAAAATTTAGTTGCCACCTCTTCTAACTTTTTCGTAATGACATTTGAAATTATTTAAAAATTTTGTGGACATCATATATATATATATATATATATATATATATATATATATATATATATATATATATATTGAGTATTAAGATTATGTAATTGTACGAGTAACGAGCGTTTAAGTATCAATATTTTGGGGAATTTTGTCTTCTAAAGGAGGCTTGGCCACTGACCTCGGATATATATTTCATGCTAACGAGTGAA